TTAATAATGTGAAGGATCCATTTATTAGTACAATTGCTGATAGAATAATGGTTGGGGTTATTTCATAAGAAATTGTTTGTGCTACAGCTTGGTATGCTTCAATTTATGAATTTGATGCCCTGTGAGCTGCAGAAGCAGGTAGAGAGCTGAGATGGGACCCACAGTGCTGGCAGAATTTCCAGAAAGAAGAGCAGCCCTTGGAGGTGAACAGGAGTGGGGACAGCTCTTCTCCAACTGCAGGGCAGATGGTGGAGACCACAGCAAGGTGAGAAGCCCAGGGATGGGTGCAGATGCGCAACTAGAGATGATGATGGGCGTAACAAACCTGATGGGAAGGGGTGGAGTGGGATGGGAGGACATTTCAATTCTCAGACAAATTTAAAGCAATTTGATCTGTTTCTTTGCTTTCTCTTTTCTCACCTAGCCATGATGCTGTGAATTTCGCCATGATATAGCTATGAACAGTAAAACCCCAAATTCTCTTTTACAAAGGAAGAGACTCAAGCTAAGTTTTCATGGTTCTGCAAAGCTCTTCCACCTCATAAACAATTGGGGCTCCCCTAGCATGGACCTTACACATAAACCAGGACCCTTTTGTTTCCAAATATTGAGGAGCAAGAAGTAATAATAAAAATAAAATAAAATTACAACAGAAATAATAAACTGAGAGCAATAGTATGATTGGGGAAATTAAAAGACAAACAAAATTTTATTTTTGATACTGAACTACATTAAACTGCAAGCTTCCTGCAAACTAAGGAGGGAAAGTCATCCTATTGTATAACTAATAAAAGTAAAATATATCAACTATTTAGAATAAACAAAATGCTCAGAAAGTCTTACAGGGTTCTGAGTTTGTTATGGAGTATTTGGGAGACATTTTTCCCCATAAGTACAACATATAGTGAAGTTTTTATGTGTTTATCAGGCACTTACTGTTACACATATACTTTGCCAAGCATTGTAGAGTAAAAGATGTAAGATATGATTTTTGCTTACTGTAAGCTTCTGATGTAATAAGAGATGTAATGCATAGTAAAATGAGTATTCAACAACAAATATTTTTTAAGGTCTTCATTGTGCCAATCAGATAGTAGACACTCAAACATAAAGGAATTCAATTTAAAAACTTCTCTAAGGCTCACGAAGTAGGATCTAAACAGAGCCCAGATATATCATTTTTAAAAATTCAAAACCCAGCTTATATCTCTTTCTGCTAAAAATGTAGAATAGAGGTAGAGTAGAATATAGTTAGCTATAAGCAAAAGAACTCTTGACCAAGTAGTGCTTCTCAAACACTAAACAAGTTTAACTCATCTGAACACTAGTTAAAATGCAATTATTCCCATAGTCTATCTGGTTGACCTGAAAGTCCACAATTAACCACCTTTCCAGTGATGTCAGTTCTGCTAGCTCACAAGGAGGGACTGCACAGGGAAGGACAAAGGTGTCCTCAGATCACACTCTCCAAAGGCAACACAAAAGCAGGCAGGACTGAGCTATCAGGAGCCATTCTTTCTCCAGCTCTCCACGTTGACCTCAAACCTTCTTGCCTCATTGTATGATATGGCTACTCTTTTATCCATCAGTTCTCTGCTTCAGGCCCAGAGAGTGAGGAGGGAATGGCCCCTGGATCAGGAAGGCAGAAGTTTCCCCAAATTCCTCCCACCCTACACCCTCAGAAATCTGGACTCTAACTAGCCAGAGTGCCCCATGGTTGCTTCTAGCTCCACAGGAGTCTGGAAGGAATGTAGCTTTAACCAAGCACTGGCTGGAACAAAATTGGGCCTTATCTAGGAAAATCATACTTTGTCCAAAGACCCAGCTTGTGTGCCTCATCTGCACCAAGTTTTTCAGGTAGTCTTTGTGCACTGAGACAATCTGGGTGCGCCTGGCCCATTCCATTTTAACAGATGGGAATAAGAAGCTCCAAAGACTCACACATCCACTCTGGCATTGCATATCCAACAGGAAAGCTAGGACAAGGACACCTGGGTCCTAGCCAGTTTGTGACCATATATGTGTATGTTTAAAAATAACGATGCCTTTATTTGGATACTTGGAGGCCTATGTATCGCTCTCTCAGAAAACCAAAAGTCTCCTTCCAGGCAAGTCAAGGGTGCAACATGAAGGAGAACTCTGAAAGTGTTGGAGGATAAAGTCACGAGTACTAAATAGCAGGAGTTAATGTAGTACAAATCATGCTAGACAAATTTAATTGCTTTTTTTATCTATAGAAATGCCAGATGAGGAGATAAAAAGAAAGCAGTGAATATAATAGCTCTCAATTTTAGGAAAGTGCTTGGGGATAGTAACTTGGGCAAAGTTCTGAGAAAGACATAAATAATAAGAATTCAAATGAGCCTGGCAGTGAATCTTGGCCTAGTGCTGGGAGTGGAAGAACCCACGTCTCGGGTGCCAAAGAGGAGGCCCTGCAGGGGCCCGCACTCAAAGCCTCTCTGGAGTCAGAATCTGCTGGGATTTTCTTGCTCAGAGTGACCCAGAAACAGTAGCCTGGGCATGGTGGGGAGCTTGCTGGAAATACAGCATCTCAGACCCACCCCTAACATCCTACAGTAGCATCTACATGTGACCAAACCTGCAGGAAAGTCACAGATCCGCTCTGCTGCACACACAGCTCCAGAACACTGGGAAGTGCAAGGGCACTGCGGCCTCTAGTTCGGTGCCCCTCCTCCTTCACCTTCACTGCACCCCAGCAGTGCGTGCATCTAGAAGGGACTTTGTCCCCATACAGTGAGCCCCCAAACTCATGCCCTCCATCATCAAAACATCAACTTGACTGGCCAGATAGTGCCTGCTTAGGTAGATGCAGGGGCCGGGGGTTCAATCCCTGGCCTGCTGTGCTGGCCCAGACCCAAAGGTGTACTGAGATGGCAATAGAGACTGCCATGGTGGCAGCGTGTGCCTGAATCCCAGCTCTTGAGAGGCTGTAAACAGGCGGATCACTATGAGTCCAATCTAGTAGTGAGACCCTGTAGCCCCTGTACTAAAGACATTAAAAAAAAAATTACCTTGCTGCCTGATACCATAACTGTTTCTCCCACAGAGCCTCAGCTGACTGAAGCATATACACCTTGAGTATTGTTGTCTTTTTTTGTAAGACCCAGGGTTTTTTTTTTTTTTTTTTTTTTTTTTTTTTTTTGGTGGAACTGGGGATTGAACTCAGGCCCTTGCACTTGCCAGGGAAGTGCTTATTCCACTGAGCCATCTCCCCGGCCCCAAGACCCAGTTTAGAGAAACCACTGGTGGAGTTCCAGGTCACAAAACAACCAAGAGGATATATTTATGAGCAGGACACTGCTACAAGAAATGAAGGCTGGGAAGTTGAGCTGAGTGTCAGCCTAGATGCCAGATTCTAGGATAGACACTTTTTTGGTACTTTGTCTCATTTACTTTATTTTTATTTTTACTTTTTTTTTGTGCTGTGAAACTGAACTTAAGGCCTCAACTCATACAGTTTGACTGGTAAAAGGTAACATCATCAGAAGAGACAGGAGGGAGCCTGGCACTGAGACCCGCTGTCTTCCACAGGCAGGACATCCCCCACACCTGTCACTCAGATACTTCCTCCTGCTTGAAACACACTTATCCCACTGTTCTCACCACTTTCTGAAAGTCCTCTTTCATGAGTTACTTTTGTTGTGCTGTCATTGGTTTCCCTGATGCCCTCAATCAATTCAACATGTTTCCCTTTCATAGTCATACTGACCTGGGAATAGAGCCAGGAAGCTCACAGTACCAGATGCCATGAATGCAGCGGATGAGAACTGTAATGTTTTTACTTGACATAAATTGCCAGCAACACACTTATGAAAGAGGAGTCCAGAAATGCACCAGAAAGTGGCAAGAACAATGGGCTAAGTGTGTTCAAAGAGAAGAGGGAATATTTTAAGAGGATTAATGGCAATGTATCTTCTATTTATTTTTAATTAAACGCTTATAGTACTTTATCATACCTGATATATTCTAATGGTCCTACCAGACATGTATTTAACCTTAGGTTCTGTGATAGTTGAAGCAAAAAATGTGTGATGACATTTCCTAGTAAAGTGAGGGCATTTGGAAGATAGACGTTTTTCCATAGCACTTAGAGGAGAGCATCTTATGAAACTGACAGCAATTCCTGCCTAGGAAAGGGTGAGGAAAAATGGTCCGTGACCAGAAAAGACAGCTATTTGGATAAGATTCCCTCAGATGAGATTTAATGTGCAAAGGTCAGAGGGAAAATCATCATAAAGACAGAAATGGATCCAATAAATGGGGAGACTTCAAAAGTGGGACCCAGTGAGAAGGATGCAGCCCAGAACAGAGTACAAATTAAATGGGTTTGCAGTGGGATGTGCAGAAAAATAAATAAAAGATGATTTCAGGGTACAAATGTGGAGTCCAGGATGCAAAGCCGGGAAGAATTATCTCTAAGAGTGAGGTGGAGCCTGGGATATTGCAGCCAGCGCTGGGCATCTCATTACCTGACAGAGGTAGGCAGAACAGAGAGAGTTCAGGGAAGGGCACTCGACATGATTAGGTAGCAGGAAAGATTAATTTATAAGAAAAGATTAAAAACTAAAATAGAAGAGCTGGGCTAAGAGAAGGCTCATCCCTATCTGTGTGTAGGGAAAGGGGGAGGCACTGGGCAGGCAGGAAAGCAGTCAGTGGAGGAGGGCCTGCCTGGACCAGATCCATGAAGGAATGAAAAGGGGCAGGGCAGGGGCACAAGGCAGGAAGACTCACCTACCAAGACCTGAAGGGTCAGAAATAGGAACTAATAGCAAAGGTATCGTTCATGAAGAGTTGCAGAGCCAGAAGCTCTGCACAGAGGCATGATGCACAATGACGCACAGAGGCAAGAACAATGGGAGCATCCATCAACTCGTTGTCTCCAGCCTGGGCTTTGCTGTGGCCAAGGGGGCCTTGCTCGAAGTGGAGCAGATGTGGGCATCTGCTCTGTGGTAAGCATTATGCAAGCAATGAGGTACCACCATCATAGTCTGTGATGTTAAGGGGCTTTAGTGAAGACAAAGTAATTATTAGGGCTCAGTATAATGAATTTTATTTGGAATAACAGAAAGAGAAAGTACCAGGAAAGAGACTGAAAGATCACGGTGGATATGAACAAAGTATAGAAAGGTGAAAGGCATTAGCCAGCCAAGGAGGTGGAGGGTGATGGATGTCAGGTAGAGAAAACAGTCAGTGCAGACATGGAGGCTGAAACATGTGATATATTCAAGGAAGTTGAAAAGATCTAATCTGGCTGGAGAAAGAGGGGTGGGCAATAAATATATAAGATTGGCCAGTTAGAGAAGGGGCAGTATTGCACAAGAGAAGCTCAGAAACTTGAGCCTCCTTGCCATTTAAATATTGTAAGTGTGGTGGGCGGAGTCAAGATGGCGATGAGAACTCAGTTTCCTGCCTCTGCTGAATCTCAGAAAGCCAGCAAGAAAAAAGCTCCTGAGGGTCCCACCTTCGAGAAGCTGAACTGGCTGATCCACCTGCACTACATCCGAAAGGATTATGAGGCGTGCAAGGCTGTTATCAAAGAACAGCTTCAGGAAACCCACGGACTCTGTGAATATGCGATCTATGTCCTAGCGCTGATACTGCGCCTGGAAGGGAAGATCCAGGAATCCCTGGAGCTGTTTCAGACATGTGCGATTCTCAGCCCTCAGAGCGTAGACAACCTCAAGCAGGTCGCACGGTCACTATTTCTTTTAGGAAAACATAAGGCAGCCATCGAAGTATACAATGAAGCTGCTAGACTTAACCAGAAAGATTGGGAGATCTTCCATAACCTAGGCGTGTGCTACATGTATCTGAAGCAGTTCCACAAGGCCCAGGATCAGCTGCTCCATGCGCTCCAGCTGAACAGGCAGGATGTGACCTACGTCATGCTGGGGAAGATCCACCTGCTAGAGGGCTGCATGGACAAAGCGGTTGAGGTCTACAAGAAAGCTGTGGAGT